ATGTAAATTACATATCCAATAATGTACATATGAAAAATATAAATATAAATGTATACGTATAAAAATATAGGTATATTATTTACCAAAAAAATTTAACAAAAATAGGTCAGTTACTTTGTAATTGAAATTTCCGTACATTTTTCATAAATTAAAAATAGGTACACAATAATTTATAGAAAATAGGTACGTTGTATAATTGAAATTTATGCACATTGTTTTATAAATTAAAAATAGGCACATTATTTAGAAGAAAAAAATAAGTTCATTATACTAGGTAATTGTTTTACTAGGTATACATTATTAGAGGAAAAAAAATAGGTACATTATTTAGAGAAAAAAATAGATACAAAATTTAGTGAAAAAATAGGTTCATTATACTAGGTAAGCTGTTTTACTAGGTACATTATTAGAGGAAAAAAAAATAGGTACATTATTTGCAGAGAAAAAATAGCTTCATTAAAAAAAAAATTGTTTTCATAAAACAAACAATAAAAAGATGATCAAATTATTTTTCATAACACAAGTACTAAGTGCTTTATTTAGAGAAAAAAATAGTTTCATTAAAAAAATGTTTTTAAAAAAAACAAAAAATAGATTATCAAATTATTTTTCAACATAATTAGAATGTACACTATTATTCATAAAACTATAATAAAAAAGAATACTAGTTGTATAATTCATAAAAGGAAAACAACATTAATTCTTAAATTTAATATTGAATTTAAATTACTAATATGTAAAAGGAAAATAACATTAATTCAAAAATAGATTACTAATACTTTAATGTGGAATTTAATATTTAATTTCAACTAAGTTTCTAAATTAATTCCTACATCCATTATAACTATTTGGAGATCTTTCCAAATTCAACTTGTGTCATTAGTTACACCATCCTATAACACATCAACTTATAAATAAGGGTAGTTTTGGAATCCAAAAAATACCATAAATCAAATTTTAAGTTATATTAGGTAACTTACTTAGTTGGATCCTAGTCATCGGGTATTATTTGAAAAAATTGGGTATTTTAAATAGAAAACTAATGGAAAGGGTTGTAGGTGGTTTAAAATAAATTTTATGGGTCTAAACTCAATTTACTATAAAAATATCCTCACCCATACCCACATCTCACAAAATTCGTTGAGTAAGGAAATTCATCATGAAACCAGTGCCAGCACGAATCATCTCAACTCTGAAAGCATGCCGCGGCAGCCACTTGAATGTCATGGGCGGCGGACTCACAAGATTAATGGCGTCTCCTCCTCCTCCTCCTCCTCCTACAGAGCTACCACTGCTAGAATCACTACCCCCCTCACCCTCAACAACAGCAACAAACCCCTGCATTAACAACCCCTGCCATGATCTGTGTTTCAACATCTACCATTGGGACAACCCGGCCAAAGTAGAGGCCAACCACATGTATCTGAAGCAACTCCTCCCGGTTGCCTGGTCCCACAATCCCTTAACCACCTTCAAGCTCATCTGCAACCTCTTAGACAGGCGTTCAGGTTCAGTAACAGATGCCGAAGCCTTCTACAAGGTGGCGTTTTGGCTCCACCACAACCACCCCAAGACTCTCGCCTCCAACCTCTTGCCTATTGCCGCTTGGTTTGGATATGGTGGTGGTATGAGAGACCTTGTGCGGATTCTCCACCGGATTCTTGCAGGCCAAGACGAGGTCGATGAAGAGATGATGTTCGCCATGGCTAACAAGGTGGCTGTACAGAGGTATGAGACTGACCCCGATTATCGCTTGTTACACGACCTCGTTTCGAATCTTTTCGCCCACTGCCTCAACTATGATTTTCAACTTCTGAAGAAGGGGATGCAAATGGATGATAATATTAATGTGGATGATTATGATAATGATAAGTCCTCTTCTAATAAGTGCTTCGAGATCACTAATGCGGCCGATTGGCTCGACCATCGAGCCACTTTCCTGTTGGAGAGCGTTACGAGGAAGGTTTTCCAGCATCGATACCCACAAAGAGATGTTAAGGAGGAGGATGAGGATGAGCATGTTGGTTATGCCTACAGACTCCGAGAACGGCTAATGAAGGAGGTTGTGGAGCCCTTGAGGAAGATGACTGCCTCGGACTATGACATTGCACTTAATAAACCTCCCAAGTGCAACAGGTGAGGTTATGATTGCAAGTTTGATGAAGACAACTACATGTCTCAGATATATTTGGAGGAATTGAAAGCTGCAGCTTCCAAGATTTAGAACCCTGCTGCTCTGCTTCCACATCAGATCATACGCTATGTGAACGATGAGGATCTCGAGCAAGTGGCTGAGCTTCAGTGGAATGCAATGCTGGGGGACATGATCAAGAGCACAGGCACAGGCAACGTTAAGAAGAAAAAGATGAATTTGAACAACAGCTTGGCTATTTGTGATGTCTGCCCCTCAAGAATGAGTGGATTCCCTATTGATGTATCGTTGGGCTTGGGACTGTTAGTGTCTGAACTGAGTGAAGAGCCGGCATGGAAAGGAAAGGTGATCAACTTCAGCTGAAACCCTCAACTACATTGCATACCACAAGGCGATAGCCTCAAGGCCAAGTGCGACTTTTTGAGGAGGGTGGACTGCCCAGACCCGGAGGGAGAGGTTGATATTCAAAAGGTGTTTGATTTGATTCTACAAGTTGCTGTGCATGGGAATTTGAAGCTAGAACAGATGATCAACAAGGTATTTATGATCACCACCTACCTAGACTGTGACAAGGCTTGGGCACATCCGTGGGAGAGTGAATATGAGGCAATACAGAGCAAGTTCTAGGACAAAGGGTACGGGGAAGTGGTACCACAGATAGAGTATTTAGATGTGATCGACTCCTACTACTACGAGAACCACAAGTTGGTCAAGTGGTTCTTAGACACTGATGGGGAAATCCTGGAAAGGGATCCCGAATAGACCATGGAAGAAGAAATCTCCCCCTAGCCTATCAATCTCTGGTTGTAATGGACTGATCGACTCACTCACTCAAGCCAATGGCTAACCCTATCTAACTATGGATCATCATCATCTGTTTGTTTTAACTTTTTTGGGTCAAATGATAGCTAGCAAGGTTCATTCATTAAACTAGTAACCAATTTTACTTTAGTTCCAACCATTATCAGTATGAATCTCTTTTTCTCACTCTTACATAAGCTATTATTGAATTGACAACTTGATTGCATAGTTCCCACTTGAGAGAGAGAGAGAGAGAGAGAGAGAGAATTTAACAAGGAACAGGAACAGCTGATATTATACTTTTTGTAACAAAAAAAGTTTGATATTAACACTCAATGATATAGACATTTTATCAAACTCAAGATTGAGCTATACCCACAATTCCGTGCTATATCAGTTGTTACATGTCCACTAGCATTTGAACTAGCCCTGTTCATTCTTTACCGGAAATGTATTGCTTCCTATTAACTTCTACAATTAATAAACTTACAACTTTGCCAACACTTGCCAACTTATATTTGAAAAGCATATCTCTAACTACAGTAATCTTAAAAAACAAGAAAATATATATCAAGAAAGGAAATGTTTTGTAATCAAATTCTTCTACCTTAATACCATTTTCGAAAACCTTCACAACAGCCATGAAATTTAGTTCCCTTCGTATCATGTTTTAAAAAAAAAAATGAACCAAAGGCTAAACTACAGAAGCGCCGCATAATGTAAAATTAGGGTTGATAACTTAATGATTGCCCCTATGTGAATAATCGAACTCAAAATTTCCAACAAACTGGCTGGAGCACATTTATGCATCGATGATCATATATTTCATAACTTGTGTAAACCAGTGAGGATGGAGAGATTTTCTCTTAGAACATGTGTGCTTTTGACATAACAAAGATGCATATGTAGACTGTAGTTAATGGATATTCATCATCCAGTCATTTTTCGGTAAATGTTCGTGACTTACACCTAACAGTGATGGAAGAAATATGGCAGCAGCCAACCAGCACCTCTACTAATACTGATATTCCGTCCTGATTGCAATTACTAGTTGTTTGAGGTAAAAACTAGACAGTAGTAATTAGACCAACTTAAAGATGAGGAGGAGGATGATGAAGGTGAGGACCCTCGGTATGTGAGAGCATTCGGTAAGTACATAGGCATGCATACTGAAGACAAATGTACGTGGTTCACCCGAATAATGGGCTACGTCCACAGAGAAGTATGTTCTCATTATGATAAAGACTGTATACATTGCACATAGGGTTAGACCCAAGGAGAGGAGGAAGAATGCCGGAGGCTGATGGCCGAAGGCGGAGGACCGAAGGCGGAGAATCTGGCTGAAGGCAAATGATCCGTGAGCTTGTAAATGGGCTTAGGAGTAAGCCCATAAGGCCCTTATGAGCCATATAGTACCCTAGTAGCCTGTCTAACTCTCTTTTCTTGAATGAGAGAAGTCTCTTTTTATAAGTGAGGGAGAGTCCCCTCTTCTTATGTTTTGTCGATGTGGGACTCTCATTCCTTTGCTTGGATTGGCTTGGGAGTGCTTGGCCAGATATTGTACAAACAGGAGTCCCCCAAGTTCCCGATTAAGGAGGTATTTCTTGATTGGGGATTTGTAATCATCAATGCACTGGCCAAACAATGCTTCAGCTTCTTCTTCGCTTTCTTTTGTATGCAGCATCGATGCAGAGTTGTTGAGTCAGTACCCGCCGATCATCGAAGGTAATGGTACCAAGTGCTGAGTAGCAGTTATTGAAGGGTATGGAGATTAAGTCACATGACAACTACCAGAGGCATGCACTATCGTAGGTGCTGAAGGTGTTGCTGCAATAATGGGTGTCGTTCAGCAGTTGACATAGGTGCCGAAAGCTTTAGAGGATTCTCCATGTGCCGTTCAGTAGGTAGCTGTGGCGCTGTAAGAGAGAAATGTTTCTATGAGGTGCCGTTGTTTTGAGAAAAGGTGCCATAAGGGAAAAGATTCTTCATATGCTATTCAACAGGTAGTTTTAAGAATAGGCGCTTTTCCTTCATGGGGTGCCGTTCGGCAAGTAGCCTTGGCGCCGAAATGAAGAGATATCTCATGGGAGGTGTCGTTCGACATGTGGCTTTGAGAAGAGGCGCCAGAGAAGTGTCACCCGTGGGGTGCCGTTCGGCAACGCAAGAGCTGGAAAATGCCGTTGGAGCTTTGGGAGCTGCCGTAAGCTTAGGAGTTGATGCCGTTAGTCAGGAGCTGCTGTAAGCTTTGGAAGCTGATGCCGAAAGCTTGGGAGCTGATGCCATTATTCTTCATGAGGTGCCAGCAGGTAGCCTTAGCGTCGTAAGTGAAAAGTGTCGTTCGGCATGGCCTTGAGAAGAGGCTCCAGAGAAGTGTCACCCGTGGGGTGTTGCTCGGCAACACAAGAGCTGGAAGATGCCGTTGGAGCTTTGGGCCGAAGGCAGACGCCGAATCATTGGGGGAATGTGAAGACATCGCACACGCCAAATGATGTAAGGGTGCCGAAGGCAGATCCCGAATCATTGCAGGGATGTGAAGACATCGCATACTCCGAATGATGCAAAGGTGCCGAAGGCAGATGCCGAATCATTGGGGGATGTGAAGACATCGCACGCCGAATGACGTAAGGGTGTCGAAGGTAGATGCTGAATCATTGGGGGATGTAAAGACATCGCACGCCGAATGATGCAAAGGTGCAGACAGCAAATGCCGAATAATTGGAAGGATGTGGAGACATCGCACGCACCGAATGATGGCGTTAGAAGGAGGGCAAACACCGAATCATTGGGGGATGTAAAGACATCGCACGCCGAATGACGCAAAGGATGCCGAGGGCAGATTGTAGGAAGTGCCGAGGGCAGCGCTCACAAGGGTACCGAGGGTATTGAATGTAAGAGTGCTGAGAGGCACTTGTTGTAGGGTGCCGAGGGCACTCGAGAAGGAGAACGACATAGCTTTTCGTGTCGCTTCCCACAGACGGAGCCAATCTGTTGGAGGTAAAAACTAGACAGTAGTAATTAGACCAACTTAAAGATGATGAGGAGGATGATGAAGGTGAGGACCCTCGGTATGTGAGAGCATTCGATAAGTACATAGGCATGCATACATAAGACAAATGTACGTGGTTCACCTGAATAATGGGTTACGTCCACAGAGAAGTATGTTCTCATTATGATAAAGACTGTATACATTGCACATAGGGTTAGACCCAATGAGAGAAGGAAGAATGCCGGAGGCTGATGGCCGAAGGCTGAGGGCCGAAGGCGGAGGATCTGGCTAAAGGCAAATGATCCGTGGGCTTGTAAATGGGCTTAGGAGTAAGCCCATGAGGCCCTTATAAGCCATATGGTGCCCTAGTAGCCTAACTCTCTTTTCTTGAAGGAGAGAAGTCTCCTTTTATAAGTGAGGGAGAGTCCCCTTTTTTTATGTTTTGTCGATGTGGGACTCTCCTTCCTTTGCTTGGATTGGCTTGGGAGTGCTTGGCCAGATATTGTACAAACACTAGTAGTTTTTAGTTTGCACTAAATGCTTTAAGATGCTTATCAGGCCTTCCCAATTGTGCAGTAATTCTTTGAATCCATATATAAGTGGCTCATCCATAATTGGATATCAAGTACTTGACTAGGCACCCCTCCATTGATCTTGACTAGCTTCATTGAATTCATAAATTCTTTATTTGAATTAATTATTATATTGTTTTATTTGTAAGTATAGTATAGCAGCACAGCTACACTACTTTTCTTTTTCACGTATAGCGGTGCGCCTATGCGTTTTAAATATATTAGAAGATCGGCTATACTATTAAGGAAAACACCATTAATTCAAAAATAGATTACTAATACTTTAATGTGAAATTTAATATTTAATTTCAAATAAGTTTCTAAATTAATTCCTACATCCATTACAACTATTTGGAGATATTTCCAAATTCAACGGGGTCATTAGTTACACCCCTCATAACACATTAACTTATAAATAGGGGTAGTTTTGGAATCTGAAAAATACAATAAATCAGATTTTAAGTTATATTAGGTAACTTGCTTAGATGGATCCTAGTCATCGGGTATTATTTGAAAAAATTGGGTATTTTAAATAGAAAACTAAAGGAAAGGGTTGTAGGTGATTTTAAATGAATTGTATGGGTCTAAGCTCAATTTACTATTAAAAATTTACTCCTTGACTATTTTCTTCATATTAATAACTGGGCCACTATGTTGTGATTGTCACCATGCTTTTTCAATTTGCTATGTTAGTTTTGTTAACTTTTTTATATTTAAAGTTGTTTGAATGTTTAGTTTAGTTTTGCTTATTAAATGTAATTGGTCACAAATAAATGTTATCGTGTGAAGCGCAGGATGATGAACCACACAACGGGGACAAAATCATATGCCCAAGTGAGGAACCAATATGTAAGTGTCACAGTTTTTCTAGTTAATTAATGTGGAGCATGTTATCATATTGTAAGTCTGCTTATGTAAATTATCATAATGTTTTGATCGTATATAAATGATAAAAACATAAGATAGCTGGTATGTACTTTCAATTTTTTTACTTAATGGGCCATGAACAAGTGATTTTGTGGATGACTTAAGAAAAACTTCTTTTAGGTACTTGTCCTATGATTAAAATGATATTTGATATGTGAACTATGTCTAGTGGATTTTAGAAGGTGAATCACAAGGGGGTCTCCCCTGATAGATGCAAAATGTTTGAACTGTGCTACCTAAGAAAGAATGGAACGCCTATGAATGAGACAGCTACAAAAACTATGGTGAGGCTAAATTTGATTGTATTTTAGGATATGATGTCATGTGTTGCTTGTAATAAAGGCATCCATGTAGTAGAATACACAGTTAACATATATATATATATATATATATATATATGAATTCAAAGATCATTGATATTAGGAATAAAAAGAAGCAAAACCAACTACCAGATGATGTAATAGCAGAGGAAATCAATATTGTATATTCTAAAGTGCTTGGAAGAGAGAAGTGTAATCGGGTGAGAGAATATGGCATAGGGGTGAGACCTGAGGGTGTGTTGGGTGTGCTAACAAAAAGAAAAGGTTTGAGAGAAGAGGGGAGAGTCACAACGGAAAGGTGAAACGTTTGGAGCAACTTTTAATGAAACAACGAGCCATCATGGAAAAGGTTTTAGCTAGTGCAAGCAATGTTTCTAACATTGATTCTGAATTGCTATTGGGACATGTTTCACTAACTAATTGCTTAAGCACTCCATAGGTAGCACTTGGTTCTAATAGATTGGAAGAAATTATGAATGCAACCTTATATTCACCTTACATGCCAAGTCAGACATTAATTGATCAAGATGATTATAGACCAGTACTAAGGGGGATAGAAGAGAAGGAGCATGCAAGGAATGTTGGCATGGTGTTCAGAGTTTGAAAAATATGGTTAGAGTTTATGGTATCTAGACCATGCAATACCATTATGCTTTTTGTTAACACCATGCTTATCAACATATATGTGTTTTGGTGTTATGAATTTGATAATACGAAAATACATGTTAGTTTGGTATTTTGATCGTAACTGCTTCGTTGGTACTAGGGTATGCCATTTCCTTTTTGATGACCAAGTTCAAGAGGGATGAAATTAGTTGTTTTGAAAGTAGATCCCAAATGATTGTATATTTAGTTACCAGTGACTTAATATTTTGGGAGGTTTAATCCTTCATATGTGTAAATTGTAATGAAAATTATGAAATCAAAGCTAATATGTTTATGAAATGTTTACTCTACTGGAAGAAATTACAATGAAAGTCAATATCTTTATTTAATTGTTTATTGAATTATATTGAAATTACAATAAAGACCATACATCAATAAAGACAAATATTTTTATTGATTAATTATTGAAAAATGAAAAGTAAGAAATATACAAATGAACATTGTAATTCTTTTTAATAAATCTAATACACAAACATAGTTTCAATTTGTTGTTTTTGATGGGCCTCATTGTACTTAAATGCTATTGAGAATCCAAACGCGTAATGATAAAAATACGCCAACTAGTGAAATAAGTAATAAAATATTATAAACTAAAGTTGATTTGATGGATGATGGGCCCCACTGTATCTTTAGATGTTGTTGAGAGTCAGTGAGTGTTTGTCACGAATGTTGTTAAAATGGTGAGAATAGGTTCTAGTTACAGCTTCATATGTAGCGAAGCCCAAAATTGTAACTGCATCATTATTATTGCTTTTACTCACCAAAAAAATGTGACTAATGATGCCAATAGTCACCATGTCACGCTTCGGACCCGGGGTCGGTGGAAACCCCGCGTCCGATGCGTAAGAAAATAAAAAGTAAAATAAAATAAAAAGAAAGTCGAAATAGGGTTTAAAATAAACTTCTCTTATAAAAATAGATCCAAAATCTTACAACTTTACAATAAATAAAGCTCTATCATTCTCATCTAATTCAGCCTTAACTGGTTTATTCCTTTTCTTGCTCACTAATTCATCTGAACAATTAAACAGAGTGAGGGGTGAGCAACCACAGCTCAGTAAGGACATGAGACCTTACCATAGTAGATTGATATAACTAAATTAAGTGATATGCAATCACACAGCCAAATATCATCTTAATATTAATGCATGGATGAATGCTCTTCACCTACTCCCATTATTTCATATAACTGGACAGGAAGACCTGCACGTCCCATACCATGCGTATACTACTTGGTCCCGAATTCCCATTTATATGAACTAACACCCATTTCAATCATCCCATAATTCCCCTTTTGTTAGTCATCTTGTCTAACTTCCTTTCGCCAGTCCTGAATCACCCAATAAAAATCATGTGCACTGTGGGATCCCTGAGACCTGGTACCTGCCAAGAGTTAGACTCAACTACACAAAAGATCCTTCCCATTACCCTCTTTTCCAACAACTTCGACCAATTACCATGACATGATATAATTATGCCAACATTATTTAAATAGTTCACAATACGTAAATATCCTATACAAGAACATTATACAATATCGCACATAATATAGAGCCCACAAAATTTAATTAGATCAATCCCCGTAAAGGTCCCCAAGAAACCCCTACCTTGATACCAAAGCTTTTGCTAAAACTATAAGGTGTTTCCCAATTTTCCATCGCATTCACAAACTCAGTCTCCACTCTTTTTCTTACTTCTCTGTATCACTATTTCTTTCTCGTTTCCTTTGTTTGCACTACTTGTGCAACTTAATGTCCTATATATATACAAGGAACAAGTTGGCAGGAAGTGATTTCCTATTGGATGGTTTATTGGCGGTTGATACAAACTTACTGTCCAAGTAATAGTTATCAATGTAGTTGCAGATAAGGAAGAATGTTTTTGTGACTCTTCCAATCCCTCTAATACTATTCTTATCTTCTTGGTGAGTTGATAACCTTGATACTTAACAGGTTTTGTACTTTGACACGTATTAACAAGAACTATTTTAAAACATATACATATATATCATAGGATAAGCATATATGTAATACACATATTTATATATATATATATATATATAATAAGAATGCGTACCAAGATAATTACACATACTAATATATATTTAACTAAGATAATTATGTATTAAAAATACAGAGTTTCACACACCAATAAAAAGGTAACAATTGTTGATTTTTTTTGTAGTGGATATTAAATAAAGTTCCATACGATGTGGACTTTACAAGAGTTGACTTTCAGCATTCAATTTAATTCTTATTTTGAGCCTTCATTTTGTGAGATAATTTATATATGTATATTGGTTGAGGTTGAGATTGATTTATTATTTTAATTTATCTTGTTCTAGACCACCCACTTGATTTCTCTCCTTTTTTGCTGCCTCCATGAAAAAGTTGAACTTTCATACATGTGGGTGAGAGAGTGACACATCATATGATTTGGTAATTAGTATTGTCTATCTTCTAAGCCACCGTTTAAAAATTCTCTCTCTAAAAAACTTAACCAAACTGAAATTTATTTACTAATCTAATTTTTATCAACTAAATAGACGAACATAGTGTTTTGATTAAGCATTGAATTATCATAGTATTAATCAAATGACTTAAACGATTTTCAATTTAATCGATTTTCCTTTTTCAAGAATGGTCCTTGAAGAACAACCTCATAAATGAATGATTTCGTTTATCGTCCAACATTGCAAATTGGAGAGGAAGATAAAGAAGGTAGAAAGAAAAGGTCACCCTAGCATACCCCTTTCACACATATAAGACTAAACAAATCCTAGAACTTCTTACCCCACATGTAACTGGTAAGAAAAACGATCCATGAAAGTTCAAAACTCATCACTGCGTACGTGGGTAAGAGGTGATGATCACGCATCCCCTTGCGTCATCGTTGGTCTATATAGTCCACAACACTAAGGCGTCTCTCTTAAAACACAAAAACCCAAAAAGCATAATTTTCTTGCCTCAAACTACCATTCTCTTTCAAAAACTCTCACAGCCCTTCTTCCTAGCGACATACATATTAATTTGGAACCGTTCAAAATCATGAGCTCTGAAAATATTGGTGCAAATGGAAATGGGAACTGCTTGGGTTGGGCTGCAACAGACGAATCTGGAATTTTATCGCCTTACAAGTTTAGCCGAAGGTATACTATTGAACTGATCATGACTTTTGGGTTGCATGTGGCTAGGCTAGCTAAATTGTTTTTTGATAATTTGTTGTTGAACTAGCTAGGTTGAGTTGATTTAAATTGTTCAGGTCTCTTCAAAACGATGATGTTTCCGTAAAGATTACACACTGCGGAATTTGTTATGCTGATGTGCTTTTTCCAAGGAACAAGCATGGAAATGCAAAGTATCCAATGGTGCCCGGGTATGTATAGTGATTTATTACCAGGGCATTTTTTTCACGATAATTACCGTTAAATGAATGTGATTTAATCTACCTGCTAAACGAATCTAAAAAATTAGCGGTTATTAATCTAAAAAATGTTCTCAATTGATTGTGCAACAGACATGAGATTGCTGGCATTGTGCAAGAAGTTGGTTCCAATGTTCATGGCTTCAAAGTCGGTGACCATGTCGGAATAGGAACTTATGTTAATTCGTGCAGAAACTGTGACTATTGTGGTGATGGTCTTGAAGTTTTTTGTGAAAAGGGAGCAGTTTTTACTTATAACAATGTTGATGAGGATGGCACAATTACACAAGGAGGGTTTTCCAGTTACATTGTTGCTCATCAAGGGCAAGTTTTCTCCGCTTTCCTTTTGAAACATGCAGAATTGGTGTCCGGATTTCTAAATGTCTACATAATTGGTTGTTTTTGTTTTTGTTTTTTGGTTCGAACAAAATTAGTTGCTTGATTAGCAGATGGAAGATGTAAAATTTTGTTCTTGAATTTATAGGTACTGCTTCCGGATACCAGATGGCTATCCGTTGGCCTCAGCAGCTCCTCTGCTTTGTGCTGGCATCACTGTTTACACTCCGATGATGCGCCACAAGATGAACCAGCCCGGAAAATCTCTAGGGGTGATTGGACTTGGTGGCCTTGGTCACTTGGCAGTGAAATTTGGGAAGGCTTTTGGGCTAAATGTGACCGTTTTCAGCACGAGCACATCGAAGAAAGAAGAAGCTCTAACTCTGCTTGGTGCAGACAATTTCGTGGTCTCATCCGACCTAGAGCAGATGACGGTACAGATACATAATGCTTGTTCCAGCATTGATCTGTGCCATTAATACTTCTTCAGTACAAAATCAATGGCACAGATTTTGTTTGTTGTATCAAAAGTTGTGCATGACACATCGTTCTAAAGCTCCACATGTTTCCCTGATTTTACCATTTATGCAGGCCCTGGCTAAGTCACTTGACTTCATTATTGACACAGCATCTGGTGATCATCCATTTGATCCATACATGTCCCTGTTGAAGACTGCTGGTGTTCTTGTCTTGGTTGGGGCTCCAAGTGAAGTCAAATTGAGTCCTCTAAGCCTGATTGGGGGTAAGTTTAGCAATTTCAATACTCAAAGAGTTTTTATTCATCCTAGGCTACAAAATTTGCCAGTTTAATGAACCAGATTCGACTGACCATTTGTCAGGTATGAAGTCGATTTCTGGTAGCGCAACGGGCGGTACGAAGCAGACGCAGGAAATGCTAGACTTCTGTGCTGCTCACAAGATATATCCAAACATAGAAATAGTCCCAATTCAGTATGTAAATGAAGCTCTTGAGAGGCTGATAAAGAGAGATGTGAAGTACCGTTTTGTGATAGATGTCGAAAGCTCCCTGAAATGATAAGAAAAAGTGAGATTTCTCTTCCAATGCCTTGATCAGTTGTTATAGAGACTGAAGAAGCTTGAGAAGGCTGTATACTGAGATTTGCAATAACATGTAACAGGGTTTGTATTTTGGGCTTTTTGAACTTCTGCATTATGTGAGTGGTCAGTGGTTAGAACTTAGAAGGATTAAATGAATAAACTACTATGTGATTTGGAATTTTGAGCACTCACAATTTCTTCTTACATTTGAGCTTTTCATTATTTGTGCAGCATTTTGATATTGTTTGAGATTGGTTTATTTTCTTATTTTGTTTTCAGTCAAGGAATTATCAAGTTTGGGATGTTCTGTCCAACTTGCATATGAAGCCCAATACATTACATGGGCTTTTTCCTTTGAATGATCTTTTTTTAAATAAACATGTTATGATACTATACTACTAGGATCTTAAAAAAATAACATTCTTTTTAAATACAGGCGAGAGCTTAAAGTATAAAGGAGATGAGGTTTCTTACACATAGACTACTAAGATGCTATAATACTTAAAAACGTTTCTGACAACGTTTGAAAGATAAAAAAACAAGTAAAAGACACGAATGACTTTAGACTTCTGCTCTCTCTTAGAAACTATTTCAACTCTCTCTTTATGATGAGATTAGAGTTAGAGAACATGTTTAACGAGAGCTAGGTCTTAAGCTTATATAGGTCTAGGTCAAGTTATCTCTATTCATCACCAAGGGCCGATTTGACTAACACTCTAAGCTTGTCAAGCAACAGTTCACACAAAATGAAATAAATAGGATCCTTTTAATTGGCTTCAAAACTTTCCTTATTTTACAAAGTTTTGGACCCCAACTCTTATAAAACTTGATATAACTTTAATATAGGAATATAACAAAATAACCTACTGCTACTGGCTATTTTGATTTGATTCCGATCCTATCCCTTCTGTTGGTTCAACAACCCCACCTGGCCACCTGTAGATAAAGACCATCATATTTTCACGTAGCCTTTTGCCACCACACGCACGGGTTGAGGAGGAGAGATCCTGCAGCCCACGGGTAATGATTCTCTCATCTTTCTGGGACCACATGGCTTGCACGTGCAATCACCACTTTATAGCACTTGATCTAGTGCCACCTTTTTGCTCCCTGCTAATTAAACTCTATTAATTAAGATAATAGTTCATTAGTTTTCTGGACGGTTTGCCTATTAAAAATATATATATATATATATTTGCAGCTTAATTATATAGTGAAAAATAATTGTTTTGAAGGTAAATAATTCTTCAGACCATAAAAAAAAAAAAGGTAAATAATTATCATCCTCATCGAACTTTACCTCATGAATTATTTTTTCAACCAATTTAGTACTTAAACTTATATAAATAGCCAATTTAAGATTTAGTGTCAAGTTTTTAAAACTCTATTCAATTTGCCATTAATTGTAAGGACATATTTGTCATCGTACAAGGTAGAGTATAAAACTCAGAAAATGTAAAAACTGAAGAATAAAAAAAATCCATGAAAGAAGTGAAGGTTGGGTGCGTCTGGGTACATAAAGAAATGGAGAGAGAGAGAGAGAGAGAGTGGCTCATAGTCAAGGCAGTGACAGAGCCAGAAATTCTATCAGGAGATTGAACTTTAAATAACTTTATAATTACAATAAACTTAATTTTTATAGAAAAATATATTTAAGAATTCATTATAAATGAAAATATAGTTTTTATAGGAAAACAAATTTCAATATCGCAAATTTAATATCTTAAGTAAGCATAACCTAAATTCTATCAACGTAAAGATAATGAAAGAGTAAACAAAGAAAATGAGAAAATCAAATAAAATGCATAGCACACACATGTAAATGAAATATGAAGATATGAAAATAAATATAGATCATATTCATATTCATTGTAGACGATTGACATTTACAAAAAGGGTTAATAAACAGATAAGTATACCTATAAAATAACTTGAATAACATACATAAATTTAAAGTTTTTAAAATGTTGAGAAGAGTCAAGTGACCCTGTGGGCTTTAACTGGCTCAGCCAATGGTCAGAGATAGAAGAAGAACTAATGATTATGGTGGAGGTGTGGGCTTGCGGGTATAGCATTCACCGCGAGCGTCGTCTAGAGGATTGCAGATCTAAGCTCTAAGATGTCAAATTAGATCTGCTGGTCTGATCTCATTCGTGTCGGTTTCTTAGATTCTCTTCCAAATGTCTTGGATTTGTGGGTCAGAGATTTCTTAGATTGAAATCCATGGCATAGATCTTACATACACAGAGATTAGAGTATCCGAAAAAGACATACTTGTGTTTTTGCTTTTATTTTGTTTCATTTGTATTTTAAAGATTAAAAAAAAATGTACTCACTTGCTCTATATGTGACATTTTGACGGAAAATTAGATGATGAAATTCAAAAAATTTAACGGTAAGAGTGAAATTAGTTATTTATAATGAGTTTTAGGACTAAATTAACTGAAAAATAATTCAAGAGTTAAGTTAGATTAGTGTCATAGTTCAAAGGATAAAACGGCTAAAAATCTTTTTTTCTTTTTTGACCCGAGAGGCTTTTGTTTGTAATTGAATTTTCCGTATACAAAAAAAGATTGACCTAGTTGAAATTTGGTCAAGTGAGTGATGCTCATGGAGAAACATAAAGAAGTCCATGCTTGTGAAATTCAAGGAAGATTATTCTCATTAGCTTTATTTATGTGTCTGTCGAACATTAAAATGCCAACTTATATAGTATGCTGCAGGATCTCAAGTTTGACAAACAAATATTATAAGAAAATAGATATTATCTCTAATTATACGTAACAATTTCGTATTAAAAGTCCTTGATGTGTATGAATCTCACAATCCCCAACAACTTACAATCTTCTATCCGCAGTCGCCGACACGGGTGAATATAACTTAGCCTAGCATCAGCATGAGATCATATGTCAATGAGCAGGGGAGTTTCAAGTCCTACCAAAATTGGGTCAATCTTTTCTAGTCAAGAGTCAAAAATGAGACAGAAAGGAAGAGAATAGAGTCAAAACGTTCAAAGAAAAAAGAATGAAATCAAATGCATGCTTTGGTCCAACTGACATACCCTCGTGCCATCTCGAGTCTCGTGAAGAGGAAAAGAGAGATGAAATCACACTATTTCCACCATAATAATTTGTCGTCTTTTTCCCCCCCTTTTTGCGACTGTTTTATTCAACTTGTGTTTTCTCAAGTACGATCTTGAAAGTTAAATTATAAACCACTTATTTTTAAAAATAAAGTAAAAGAATATCCTCAAAGCATTTGACATGGACTTAACCTAAAAATGACAACTTTAATATTTATTCAATTATGTTGGAAAATATCTCAAATACTTTGACTTCCCCTCACTTCATTGATTAGATTATATATATAATATGGAATTAGTCAAATAATTTTATTCGAGGGATGCCCTTTATTCATAGATCATGCAAAAATCAGATAAATTAAAAATAATTAAAGTATCTAATTGCAAGCAATAAAATGGATGAAACATGATGTTTTAAAAAAAAGACTAAAATAACAATTTAATTGAGTGATCAAATGATTTCGGATTGAAGTAATTTTTTGCAGAGATAATTTTTGAAAGAATATTTAAAAATTAAAGGATTTAAATCATTGAAAAATAATATGTGATAGGTCATACAAAGAATATGCCGCAAATAAATTTATCTAATTGTATCGTTGGTATGCAATGCAAAATCAGTCAAACACACTATTTGGGGATTATGTGTCGATCTTTTTGGTGCCCACTAGAAGAAAAAAATTTGATATAGAAAGAAGGAAAATGGTCCCTAAAAGAAGAAATAATACAATTGAGGAACCCAAGAAGCATATGTTGCAATCTGTGCTTTGACTCAGTGGAATCATCCCAACATAATAAAATCTTATTGTTTTTTTTTTTTGGCCTGATATTGTCTTTTTTTTCTCTCTTCCTCTTTTGATTTGGATCCACGCGCAATTGCATGCCACAAGCAAGTTGAGCCACGGCTTGCCCAAATCATATGGTCCATATCTAAAGTTAGAGGAATGCTAGCAACCTTCTTTCTAACCTTCTTTTTTGAACTTTTTCCATTTTTTACTTGACATGTGTCTTTCTCCTTACACTTAAACAATGTCATGAATATATTATATAAGCTAACTTTTGCATTCCAAGTTTACCCTTATTAAATGTATTCAATTTATCTAAAAAAAATTCACAAGTTTCTTACCATCTTATTAAATTTTTTTTAACGTCAAATTTTTTTTTTATAAAGAAAATGTTTGTCTAAAAAAAAAAAGAAGAAGAAATGTCTTTTTTTTAAAAAAAAAATTAAAAAAAAGTCTAAACTTGACGTTAAAAAAAAAGGAACATTTCCTCTTTTTTTTTTTAAAAGCGGAGATTTTCTTTAAAAAAATTGACGTTAAATAAAAGAATTAAGATGGTTAGAAAGTTGTGAAATTTTTTGGGATAAATTGAATACATTTAATAAGGGTAAACTTGAAAAGTAAAAGTTAGCTTGTATCATATATTAATGACATTGTTTTAAGTGTAAGGAGAATGACACATGTTAAGTAAAAAATGGAGAATGTCCAAAGGAGAAGGTTAGAGAGAAGGTTACTAGCATTCCCCCTAAAGTTAAATCTTCATCCACCGTCAACATTTTTTATTCGATTTATTATTTATTACGATTGCCCTAACATAATTACATTGCAAGACCAATAAAATGGCTTTGCGTAAATGAATAATAAGCAAAAATATAATAATTATAGGGTAAGCAACAAAGTTACAAATTAGGTTATGTTAATCCCAACGGGAATAAGAGGAAAATAAAATATCAAAAAACAATCCATCATATTTGACCAAGACACAAGAACATGTTAGAATTAATTTGTTAATTGTTGTACTTTTCTTGCCTGGAATATATCTAGGGATTAATTTTTCTAATTGTATGTTTTGGTTTTAGTTTTCTTAGTTTTCTCTTGTTTAGTTCAGGCCGCGAATCTTTTTAAGATTGTCCTATCGTTCCTCACTTTCACGTTGAGTTTCAGACGGTTTCATTCTATCCATTGTATACTCTTATAATGTTTAATAAAACATAAACGCAGTAAGTTTAGCTTTATAATAATAAAACTTAGAACTTGAAAGATCGAAAAAGGTTCTTCCAATAGGGTGTCCATGTGCATGGATAAGTTTCTCAAAATCTAGCTACT